GCACAACGCCCCAGACACAGACACCCCTCGGTGGCCGGGGCCCCGGGAGGGGGGGGGGGGAAAGCGGGGCGCGGTAGGATCCGATCACTTCGCCCCTCGGCTCCCCCCGGCCCGAGCCGCGTCCCCTTGGCCTGCCGCTCCAGGGGGCATGGCGGGTGGGGCTAAAGTAGGTGGGTACACGCCTGAGCTCCAGCCGCCAAGCAACAGCTCCCGGCTGGATGAGGGTCTCTCTCCGTCCCGCCCCCCTCCCCCCTCCCCCCCCCCCCTGGAGCGACGCTTTGTGGTGGTGAAAAAGGCCAAAGGCCACGAAGACCAGGCACAGTCGGCTTTGGAATATTCCCTTCTCCCGCGCGCCGGTGGCGCCCGGCCACATCAGGCGACCGGCAGCAGCAGGGGGTAGGCCTGTGTGCCGCCCGGTGCCGCCAATTCGCTCATCGAGAAACGCAGGAGCCCCGGCCAGACGAGGCCGCTCTCCTCACCCGGGCCCTGAAATCACATCCCAGGCACCGCAGCCCATACCTAACCGGGCTCCCTCACGAGGAGTGCGTGAGTGAGAGGGCGACCGAGACGGAGACCGAGACGGAGAAGGATCCCCCCGCCCCCCGGGCAGATGGGGGAGAGCGAGGCAGGCTGCAGCCGCCCTCGACGATGGGCATCTGCCCCGGGTCCTGCGGCGGGGGGGAGGGGGTTGGAGTGGGTTGTGACCAGGGATTAACTCTGTCGGCTCCCAAGACCAGGGGGATGGAGGCCCTTCCATGAGCGGAGCTGGCGCGCGCACCTGCCGCGCCTCGGTGCACAAACGCGGTCATTGTCTCAAGGCGTGCCGCGGCGGTGGCTGCCTAGTCTCGGGGACGGGCTGCTTCCCCGCGCGGTACCCCTCTCCCCCTCGCCCCGGCCTGCCACACCCGCCCCGCCGACGCCGACGCCGACGCCGACGCCGAGGAGCAGCGGGGCCTGCGTGTGGCGCGGGCTGCGATGGGAGGTGATGATGAGCGTCGGGCTGGGGGGGATCCCGCCGAAGACAAGCCGGCGGGGAGCCGTTGCGCGAGACACGAGGGGCGGCGTGCGGCATGGGCACACCATCCGGGGCCCAGCGGCCGGCCGGGGACAAGAACTCCCAATCGACTTGTGGCACCCCCAGAAGAGACACACCGGGGGGCCAGGCCGCCACCCATCCCCCTCGACCGCCCCGCGGGTGCAAGTCGGATATGCCGGTATGCGTCTGGGCCCATCAAATGGAGGAGCATAGCCTGACACACACACACACACACACACAGATCGGAGCACCGCCCCCCGGGGGCCGCACACGCACACCCTTCCCCGGGGGAGGGCGAGGGGGCAAAGCAGGCCCCAGGCCGCGCCTTCCCCTCCTGAACACGGTGCATCCCACCGCGGAGCACGCTCGGGCGCTTGATTGCCGTACATTCCTGGCCTCTCTCTCCTGGCCGCGGTCGAGGGCACGGCGGGGACTCCCTGGCGCGCGTGGGCGTCCGCCTTTGGTCGCCGGCCCGACACCCCCCCCTGGCAATCGACACATGAAGCCCGCGCCTCGGCATTCGGCACCATCCCGCCCGGGGAGACCTTGCCTGGGTGTCCCTCCGAGTGCTTCCCCACTCTCGACACCCCAAGCCGAGGGGCATCGGGCCCCGACGGCAAGGGCCGTGAACAGAGGGGCCAGGGGCCCGGGAGACCCCATAATCCCTCGGGCCGGCCGGGCAAACGTGTGGCCTCCGGGTGTGTGGCCCCCCCCCCCCC